CCGATGATCGCCATCATCGCAAGTCTTCCGTTGGCAAGTTCCGCCGACAATTTCTTGGTCTTCTCCGCAGGATCGGAAGAAGTCAAGACCTTGAAGCCAAAATCTCCAGCGGCAGCAGGTGTGCCAGGAGACTGATCCTGGGAAACCTCGCAGAATGCCATGTAGGCCAAGATCTGTCCCCAGCCTGCTGCAGGCACCTTGGAGATTGCTGCAAGTCCATTGGGCACATCAGCGAACTTCAATCCGGCCGATGGGGACAAGTACCCTGGGAGCTTTCCAGTGATCCTCGGTCGACAAAACACACTGACCCTGTAACAAACATGTTACATACAAACTTCCAGTGAAAGCACAAATTCAAAGGCATGCAACGTCAAGATGTTTACAAAACAGAGTGCACATGTTCCCACTTTGCCATCTCAGAGCAAACCTAGGTCTGAGCCTTCTTCACAATTCACAGCTGACATTTGAAGTTGCTCATGCTGCCGGAAAGTTTCTCCGGGGTGATATATCCCATCGTCGCGAGCATAGAGATGCGACCATGCTTGAGCTCAGTCTGACGACGGCGCTTGAAGTCCTCTACGCTGCCATCAGCTGTGAATCCGGCGGGGTCCCAAAATCCCACAGGGGCCTGAACACCCAACTCATTCTCGAACGCGCGCAATGGAGAAGCGGTGTAGTTGGCCCAGTCACCCCATGCGCTGCCGGTGAGTCCATCCTGTAATAAGAACACTGCTTCACTGCATGTCATCCTGTATTAGTCTAAACAATCTAAACTTCTACTTTGTGATGCTGAGAACGACATGTAAACAAAAAAAAACATAATTGTTGCATATTACTACAAAGATAAAGAGAAAGAAAGAAACTGCGATAGATGTGTCCTTAAAAAAAATTGAATCCCCTACACATCCTCATACCACAAAAAACACAAAACGACGTTCGACTGTATTAAACATGCCTGGAAGAACATGCCGATGATCGCCATCATCGCAAGTCTTCCGTTGGCAAGTTCCGCCGACAATTTCTTGGTCTTCTCCGCAGGATCGGAAGAAGTCAAGACCTTGAAGCCAAAATCTCCAGCGGCAGCAGGTGTGCCAGGAGACTGATCCTGGGAAACCTCGCAGAATGCCATGTAGG